CAATCAAAAACGACATAAAAATAGACTCTTTTCTCTCAGCTGTCCTTTTAATATCCCTTATGTTTTACCCTTTTCTGTCTTTCTGTGCTCATTTGTTTCTCTTTGTCCTCATTTCCCCCCATTTATCACAGAAGTGCACACTCTCAGCACTGACCTAACACGTATAAGGAAATGCTTACGTTTTCTTACGGCACTTGAGTGTTGATTCCTCTCTGCTGCCCTTTTGACTATAACGTCGCCTCTCTTGAGACAGTCGCTGTTTTTAAGTTGTGTTCAATGTCAGGGGATTTTATGTGCCCACTGGCACTCCATTCAGTGAAAATTGCACTGAAAGGCTTTCTGACACTTATCCACAAATGTATTGACCCTGTCTCTCCTCCTCATCGTCATCCTCCTTCTCACCTCCTCTTCCTTCTTGATCTGTTCTCTTTAGCTCCCCCAAGCACAAAAGGTAACTCTGGTGTGAGGTCATTGGTGCATTGTGCTGTGGTGAGGCCTGCTGTGTGTCGTGTGCGTTTCTTGTGCATGTGCGTTTCGGTTTCTAATATCTGTGAAATGAACGATCATAGCAGCTCGTGGCATTTTCTTATGTGTCGTTGTCATATGTTGTTTGTCAACTTCCTGATTGAAGCCATGCCTCATGGTTGTCACGGGTGCCATTCACGCGCTCTCTTTTGCACGTCTGATTTCGCATTCGCGCATTCTGTGCACAAACTCGCTCATCCTTCACTGGTGATGCTATGTTAGCCTTGCTTTGCCAGTGTCTCTGGGCTGGCATCGTGGTGATGTGTGTAAATGTGAGGCTTCGTTTTGTTTGTGTGATTTTTGGTGTGAAAACAAGACTGCCTGTGTTATTTGTTTTGGTGGAATTTTCCAGAATAAGCTGTTTTGTCATCTTCTGGGTGAAAATCCAATAGTCCATAATGATTGGCGGGACGATCTGTTCTGATGCCTTTTTATCATTTTCAGTGTTTTATTTGTCCGATGATTTATGAATCGTATGTGGGTCGAGATAAGCAGCTCTGTAATCACAACAGTGATGATGGCGAAACAAAAGAGCGCTCCCCGTCAGTGTGAGCTAGCAGCAGTAGCATCACACAGCTGGCTGACACAGTGCTGTTAGTGTGACACACCCGAGCTGATCTCAAACAGCTCAGCAGAAAACTGAAATAGATATCATTTTATTAGGATTAGCAGGAATCTGAACCAATTCTTTGCATATAATTGCCCCAGCACTGCTCTGGGTGCCATGAACACACACACACAACACATACACAACACATACACAACACATACACAACACATACACAACACTAGTGACAGAAAGATGCAAACATGTGTGATAAGAAGTGAGCAAAACTCCTTGGATTGACTCTGTTAGAAAATTGATGAGCATTGTGTTGTAGGACTGAAGTCATCATCTTTCCTTCATGCTATCTTTCGCCGGTTTTCTCCCTCTCACTGCGAGCCAGCAGTCCGTCTTTCTTATCGTACCTTTCTTTTGTTTTCTGTTTTATTGTTTCACTTTGCTTCTTCGCCCCTATCTCTTTCCCTCCACCTGTGCTCTCCTCTCTGCCATCCTCCCTCTTGCTCCTATCCCTCGTTCCACCAGCTTCATTCATCATTCTCTGGCTCATTTGGCTTTGTTTCCCACTCTGCTGGATGAACTGACACTGGAGCTCAGGGACGATGCGAGGGAGGTGAGAGGAATGTGTCAGGGGGAGATATTTGAGGACAACGGTAGGGAGGGTTGGAGAAAGAATATACGAGATTAAAGAATCATAAACATTGTGGGAGTGACGGGAGTTTAAAAAACGAGACTGATACTTGATTAAGTACGAAGACCAAAACATGGGGAATCTGTGAGCAGCTGATTGCCTTTTGAAGATGCTGAGATGTTCAAAATGTCTTGCTGGATGAACATGAACGCCGCTATTTCAAAGCAAAGCATTAATATTGATTGAGGTAATTAAGAGCTTTCAAAGATAATCCCCAAACACCTGCGCAGTAAAAACATGTGCTGCATGTGTGCCAGCTCCGTTTCCCATGGGGTCTGTTTTAGTTTCCTCAAATTAGTCTGCAGAGGTGGCGTTGGCTCCCGCACAAACACACAAACCTGGTCTCCAAGGAAACAGGGGTCACCTCCTCTACCTCCGTGCAATTTGTCACAGCAACCTAGATTATAAAGTGTACTATGAAACATAAAACACAGGCCAAGCGTGTGTGTGTTAGCCCTCTGATGGGTCTTCGTGTTTATGTGTGTGTGGGTATGTGCTAGTGCGGTGTCGAGTGTATTAATGCCCACTGGTGTTCTCGTTCATTATCTGACCCACAGCAGGGGAAGAACTTCCACAGCTCATTTACTCATGCAGGTAAATTCACAGAGGCGATGATGATGCAGATTTGGCCCCGATGTGTGAGTTCTGACTTAGGGAGGATCCCGTAAGGATTAGGGTTAGCACCACTTCCACTTTCACAGCAAGAAGGTCGAGTCAGCAACACCAGGCTAGGGCCGGCCTTCGATGTGGATCCTCCTGCTCTACCATCAGTTTTATATTTCACACATGCAGTTACTGGCCTGGCTGCTTCAAGCTGGCTGCCCTGTGCTCCTAATAATTAGGCTGGGTTATGCAAAGAGCAGAAATCCCCCGTGGGGCTGAATAAAGTGTATCTTACCTTCTCTAAAGGTCTTAAGAGGTAAATAAGGGTTTTTTGTGGCTCTGATGGTGACTTTAAATGCACTGCCTCTTCTTTTTTACCTAAAAGTATGACAATCCCTGGAAGTGCTGGGTAAGCGTGGACCTTTTTACCAATTTTAACAATCTGGATTTCTGCTCAAAGAGTTCACATGTTACACAGAGTCTTCTATCGGGGTTCACAGGGATACAGCAGCCCATAGGACCAGTGATATACTGCACTGATTGAAACGACCTGGGTTTGGATAAATCTCTTTCATTTATCCCGTTGTGTAGCAGCACGGCTGCCACGTGTTGCAGCTGCAGTATCGAGGCATGCTTCGTTCTCCCGTCTATGTCCAATATTGGACTCCAAATTACATTTAGCAGCTGTCCAAACTCGTGCCACTAATTCCTCTTTCCTTAGCGTCTGAGGGATGTTGACAGATTTCCTTGTCATTACCTGTTATCTCTCATGGTAAAAAAGAAAAGTCTTGGGGTGGAGAAAGCACTTTTACAATGTGGGTGTAAAAGATGCGTGCTGATATTTAGTCAGTCCAACAAATTTAAAAGATGATATTCCTTTGATTAGTGCCGCGTAAGTAGAACATGCTTCATGCTTTTTCCGCTCCGTGTTCCCAGAACTATTGTAGATTTTCATCTTGGATTCATTCTTTGCTTAATGATCCAATTACTGATGCTGAATGGAAGAAGTCACTGACATTTACACAGATTCAACATTTCTGGGTAGGCAAGGTTGGATCATATTTGTCAAGCCTTCCTCCAGTCTCCTAAGAAAACAGTGTCAAGCTTTCATCTGTAATGGATATCATCGTCAGATACAGACATCCGGTAGAAAGATAAATATCATAATTATCCCAGCAGTCTTTAGAGGGGGGAGAAACCCAGATCCAGACTAGAAGCGCTGCCTTTGGATGAGCTTATTCTGCAAGAGATCAAAGGCAGACTCTGATTGAACATATTTTAGGGCAAATAATAAACATGAATAAAACATGTCGTGGACGTTTAGTTGGTCTCTGAAGAAGATGATCAGATCCTCGGCTAAATTCCCATCAAACTCTATGTTCCACACGGATGTTTTGCAGCTTGAAAACACTGCTCAGTGTGACTAGGCAAGATGTTTCATATAAGATGCATGAAATGTGCTCTGTGGTGACATAAAATTTGTAACAAAAACAGTGAAGTTTCATCATTACCTTCCCTCTCTTCCCTCCCTTTGGCTCTTTCTGTTTCTCTGTTTCTGCCTCACAAATCAGTTGGAGGACGGTCAAGGTCCAGTTCTGATGACGACGGTGGCAATGCCAGTGTTCAGCACCAAGAACGAGACTGTAAGCTCACATACAGTGATACATGACTCATTCACCGTCACTGCCTCGTGATTCCAAAGCTCGATGTCGCAAATGAAATTACAGCTTAACTGAGAAACTGAATTTTCCTCATGAGTTCTTCCATCACGGGGATTAATCTTTGAGAGAATTGACACAAATGGTAAAATCATTGATCATTTTTTTGTGTATTTGATGGATGCTAATATCACTTTGATTGCAGTTTGAAAATTGGGACAAAGCAGCGCATTGCACGTTGAATATCTTTATAAAAATCATAAACGGAGGCACTGATGCGGCTGTAGAAGTTTGTTATGTAAGTAACCTTTTAAACTGAGCTCACCAATTTTCGTATATTTGCTTGCAGAGAAACCGGGGAATCCTTCTGGGGGTGGTTGGGACAGATGTGCCAGTCTCTGAGCTGCTCAAGACTATCCCCAAATATAAGGTACCACATCCTGCACGTGATTAGGGATCTGAACAGCCATTATTTACTGTTTTACACTATCACACTGACTGTTCCCAATGCTTACACAAGCAGTTTTACACACTTGTGCACACTGGCACAGTCCTGAATACCCATGCACACAGCTTTAGCTCACAAAGATGTTTTACTGTATGGCTACAACAGCCACTGTCTGTTTCCACCAGATCCTGATGACTGATTACACAATGTGCAACTCCTGTGCCAGTCACCGTCTCCTCTACACTGCACTCTGAACATCTTGCTCCACCTCTCCAGTCCCACCAGCGGTCCAAAACCCCACCTTATAATACATCAAATACTCCGTCAGTCAGTCCCGAGTACAGTAACTGAATGCAAAGCCAAGTCGCAGATAAATTAGAGATGAACTGAGTCACAGCTGCTGGTTTGACTCGGTTCATTAATGCATTCTGGTCGTGTCCCCCCACCCACATCCCTGCACTGATTTCTTTTGTAGATCTGAATCTTGGATGTGTGTAAGGTGTTGACATTTGAAAGCGTGTTATTTGCTCAGACATGACATGATGAACGATGCCGTCCTTTCCCGTTGTGCGGTTCTCGCTTTTACCACAAAAACAAAGACTCTGAAAGGCGCCTGATTAACCAGATTTACAATTAGCTTCTGATTTGTTATGCATCATTTTGGTGTGTTTTGTGTGTGCTTTTGCATATTCTACTAGCTGGGCATTCATGGCTACGCCTTTGCAATCACCAACAACGGTTACATCCTCACCCACCCGGATTTACGGCCACTCGTGAGTATTACCTGCAGGTTTCCTGAGTGTGACCCTTGTTACCATAAAAATGCCTTTTAGGATGCACAGGTTGAAGTTGAAACTGTACTGATAGATGAATACACCCTCTCCAGTTCACTTCAAGTCACTTACCAATTTTCTTTTTTTTGTTGTCACGCTGAGATTGTGATTGACTTTAACAAAACGGTGTGTAATTGTGTGGTGTGAGTATGCTGGCTGCGTGGTGGTATGTAGATGAGGAGAGCATGTTCCAGGCCTCTGCTGTTCTGTGAATAGACAAAGATACAGCTTCTGAATGGCTGTGATTAACTCTATTGTACTCACCCACTCCTCTCACAAGAGCTGGACGGAGCGAGTGTAGAAAGAGAGGGAGGCTGCGGGAAGCAAGGGACCTGCTGAGTGTGAGGAAAGGTGCAGGTAGGCTGGTGTAACACTGGGCGAGAAGAGATGCTCATATGGATGCGAGGGGAACAGATGAGATGAGTGAGGCAGACAGACAGATGGTTTAATAGAGGTCTAATTAAAGACGTTAATGACCAGTGTTTAACAGCTAATGAGGGCTGGGAGACTGTCCTCACTGACAGGTTCAAAAGCAGACACACGTACAGTAGTAACACAGACGCACGCATAAACACACATCAAATGCAATTAAAAGGTTCAGTACTTTGATCTGTTTCACCTTCATTTAATGTTCACTTTAAAAAGGGTCAGTGGTCAAGCCAGTGGGCTACCCAGCTGGGTGTATTCCTGGAGCGTTGCATCCTGACGCTTAATAAAAGTCACATATACATAAACTGTTGTTCCACGGTTTCATTCTTAAGAAGTTATCGGTGCTTTATTAGGCTGAAGCACCTGATTAAATAAAGGAATAGTGAAATTAAGACTCAATTATGCAGCTATTGGCCCGAGTGCCAGCAGGTGTGATGACACCAGCTTTTTATAGGTGTACGTAAAATGAAGATTATTCTTAAATCAAAGTAGTTTCAAATCCAGCTTGTTGGACAAAATGCAGATTTTATGGTTTTGCCTCTGTGTGTCACCACAGTGACAAATCAGACAATCAACACATGATTGAAATGAAACTTTCAGCTTTAACAAAAAATGCTTGAGTGTTTAAACATTATGGGAATTTAAACACACACCTGCATTTTCAGAGGTAATCGGAGAACTGACTGACAGGCAGTCATGGCCATGTGAAGCCTGTTCCCTGTTTATTTCATAGCAAAGGAAACAGACATGACATCTGAAGCTGATTCAAAGTGTTTGTATTTTATAGCTTTTTGCTGTAATTTTCACAAAGATGTGTCCATTCAAGAGAGGGAGGCTGAAGAAACCAAATCAACCTGTCAGAGAGACAGAACAGAGCAAAAGGCCTGAAAGACCACAGCAGTCAGCTAAAGGGAATGATGACAGAATTATTTCCATGGTTTACAAAGACAGCTTCACAACATCAAAAAATGACAGCAACAAGCAAGAGAAGTCTTCATGGATGGAAATATGGAGGATTTAAGAAAGATCCAAACACTGAGCCGGTGAAAATGTATAAAAACAGCTGTAATGCCTAAACAGTTAATGCATTTTTTTAAATTCCTTGAATTAAAGTCTGCACATCAGCCAAGTGTTGATTGTGGTTGTGTACGGAGGCAACAACTACCAACACTGTCTTTGTCCAGCAAGTTGTGGAGCTTTGATTGTTACCCTGAAATATGAAGTTATTAATCATGAAGTTGACTGAGAAATAAAGCAAAACTCTACTAATAAAGTGGGCCATGGTGTTAAAGTCGCATTAACGTATCACGG